CCGCTAAGGGCACATACCTCGGTTGCAGTTTGTCCCTGGCCCTGGTTGGGTCATGTGGGTGGCAGCCACTCGATGTGTACCTTTCACTTCGATGTTTCTCTCTCTCTCTCTTCCTCTCTCTCCCTCCCACTCTATCTGAACAAAAAATGAAAAAATGTCCTCGGGTGAGGATTAAAAAAAAAAGATTATTTCAAGGAATTGGTTTGTGCAATTATGGGTAGGAAGGAGAGCTGGTTAAGCACATTTGAAATCCATAGGATAGGCTATAAGAAGGGCAAATTATAGAAAGAGCAGGCTGGAATTTGCAGGCAGGAGCTAATACCTCTGTCCCAAGGCAGAATTTCTTCTTCAGGAGAGCCTTAACTCTGCTTTTAAGGACTTTCCACTGATTGAATCAAGCCCAACCACATTATCTAGGATAATCTCCCATATCTTCCAAAAAAAATGCCTTCATAGGCAACACTTAGATTAGTTTTGAATAATTTAAAATAACTGGTAACTATAGTGTAGCCAAATTGACACCTCAGAAAGACTATCCATAAGTGTTTACCCAAAAGAAATGAAAACATATGTTCATACCGACACTTGTACGAGAAAATCTATAGCAGTTTATGCATAGTATCAAAATACTAACAACAACTCAAATACCTATCAATAGGTGAATGGGTGAACAGTATGTGTTAAATTCATACAATGGAACACTACTCAGCAATTAAAAGGAACAAACTATCTGCCAATACACTCAGCAATGTGGATGAATCTCAAAATCATTATACTGAGCAACAGAAGCTGAAAACAAAAGAATACATATTGTATAATTCTATATAAAATTGTAGAAAATGCAAACTGATATATCATTTTTTAAAAAATTATTATTATTATTTTAATCCTCACCCGAGGACATTTTTCCATTTTTTGTTCAGATAGAGTACGAGGGAGAGAGAGGAAGGGAGAGAGAGAGAAACATCGACGTGAAAGGGACATAACAAGTGGCTGCCACCCACACAACCCAACCAGAGCCAGGGACAAATTGCAACCGTGGTACATGCCCTTAGCGGGAACCGAACCCGGGTCTCTGTGGACCACAGGCTGATGCTCTAACCGCTGAGCCAAACTGGCTAGGGCAAACTGATATATCATGACAGAAAATAAGTGGTTGCCTTGGAACAGATAAGTAAGAAGAGATAAGAGGTGAAGAGGCACAAAGAAACTCTTGAGGGTAATGATCTGAATCTTAATTATGGTGGTGATTTCATGGGTGTATACATGTGTCAAAACTCATCAAATTGTATACTTTATTTATATATAAAGTATATATATACACTTTTTTTAAAATTGATTTTTTAGAGAGAGAGAAAGAAACATCCCAACATTCATTGATGGCCTCCTGCACGCTCCCTACTAAGGATTGAGCCTGCAACCCAGGCATGTGCCCTGACCAGGAATCGAACTGGGACCTCTCAGTCCATGGGATGGTGTTCAATCCACTGAGTCACATTGGTGGGGTCAAACTGTATACTTTAAATAGTTACAGTTTATTGTATATGTATAGTCTATCTTAGTAAAGTTGTTAAAAAATTTATTTGTTGGGATTCATAGCAGATTAAAAATAGTAGAACAGAGGATTAACGAACTGAAAGACAGACAGCAAAAAGTATTTGGATTAAAGCACAGAAAGAGAAAAAGAGTGAAAACAAAAGAACATCAGAGATATATGGGACAAAGTGAAAGGTAGTGCTACAGAACAGAGACCATATAAAATAGAAAAAATATTGGTGTGCTCTTATTGAAAACATATATAAATGATTCTATCGGTGAGGCAACATCTACCATTCAGACACCAATTAATTTTAAGAGTGTGAAAATTGGAATCTTATTCACTTGGGTGTATATATTATGACAAAACATTTATGCCAAAATCAAATACCAACACACAAAAAATTATTACACATTACTCAGGGGATGAAATACAAAACTCATTTATTAAAATGTTGGTATTTTTATAATGATATTAATAAAGAAAATAGTTTCCAAAGTACCAGCCAAAGTTCTGCTTTTTCTAAATTTATTAGCTTAGTGTACTGACTTGGCATGATGCTTTAAATAAAATTATTAGTTTAAGAAAAATGATACAGAAAATTCAATGTACAAAAAAATATATTGATGTATATAATGCTCTCAAAAAACTTAAAAGGAATAAGAAATTCTTTTTTTTTAATTTTTTTATTTCTTAATCCTCACCTGAGGACATTTTTTGCATTTATCTTCAGACAGAACAGGAGGGAGGGGGTGGGGAGAGAGAGAAACATTGATGTGAGAGAGACACATTCACTGGCTGCCACCCACACAACCCCAACAGGGGCTGGAGACAAACTGCAGCTGAGGTATGTGCCCTTAGTGGGAAACAAACCTGGGACTCTCTGGTCCACAGGCTGACACTCTAATCGCTGAACCAAACCGGCCAAGATGGAAATAAAAAATTCTTTGAAGTAAAACTGGATGATTCTTTAAAAATAGCTTATTAATTTTAAGATAATTTGCAGAATACCTATAAAATGAAATATTATTCAGCCATAAGAAAGAATGAAATGTTACCATTTGCAACAACAAGGATGGATGTAGAGGGTATCATGCTAAGTAGAAATAAGTCAGACAGAGAAATACAAATACTGCATGAGTTCACTTATATGTGGATTCTAAAAAAACAAAACAAATGAACAAACAAAAACATACTCATAGATACAAAGAACAAACTGGTGGTTGCCAGAGGGAAGGGGGTTGGGGGGACAGGCAAAATAGGTGAAGGGTATTAAGAGGTACAAACTTCCAGTTATAAAATAAATAAGGCACAGGGATGTAATGTATAGCACAGGGAATATAGTCGATAATATTGTGATAACTTTGTGTGGTGATAGATAAAACTAGGTTTATCATGGTGATCATTTTATACTGTATGAAAATATTGAATCACTGTGCTGCACATCTGAAACTAATATAATAGTGCAAGTCAACTATAATTCATTAAAAATTAATTATTAGCCCTGGCCGGTGCTCAGTGGTTAGAGCATCGGCCCGTGAACCAGACAGTCCTGGGTTCATTTCCTGCTAAGGGCACATATACCTTGGTTGCAGTTTGTCCCCAGTTCCGGTTGGGGGCATGTGGGTGGTAACTACTTGATGTGTCTCTCTCACATCAATGTTTCTCTCTCTTCCTCCCTCTCTCTCCCGCTCTGTCTGAAGATAAATGCAAAAATGTCCTCAGGTGAGGATTAAAAAAAAATTAATTTATTAAATAAATTACATTAGTTAAAGAGTCTCTTGACATTTGGTTTCAATTTCTTCAACATAGAAAATATTAGAAGATTTCAGTTGCAAATCCCACAACCCATCTAGGATCCAAAACTAAATTTTAAAATCAATTTTTTAATCCTATATTGGAAATTACAATGTCATTTTTAAAATTAAAGTTTATAGTTCTGAAAGAAAATAATGATCTTTTTAGTCTTGTAATCTATATTTTTATTATTCAAAATGTGGTCCTTAGACCAGCAGCATCAGCATTACTTGGGAGTTTGTTAAAAATGTAGAATCTTGCCCTGGCCGGTTTGGCTCAGCGGTTAGAGCGTCAGCCCGCAACCCAGAGAGTCCCGGGTTCGGTTCCCACTAGGGGCACGTACCTCGGTTGCAGTTTGTCCCCCGGCCCTGGTTGAGGTCGTGTGGGTGGCAGCCAGTCGATGTGTGTCTCTCTCACATCGATTTTCTCTCTCTCTCTTCCTCTTTCTCTCTCCCTCCTGCTCTATCTGAAGATAAATGCAAAAATGTCCTCGGGTGAGGATTAAAAAAAAAAGTGTAGAATCTCAGCCCTGCTCCAGATCACCTTAATCAAAGTCTTTATTATATAACATAACCTGCAGGCAATTTGTATGAATATTATAATTTGAAAAGCACTGGACCAGATGACATATGTAATTTGAAGATTTACAAAAAAATGAATATGAACTGCAACAACTGTTAAAATTTACATTTAAAATTGATTAACAAATATTAGTGATAATATTAATGGAAAGTGGATTCAGTGCCCTGGCCAGTTTGGCTCAGTGGGTAGAGCATAGGCCCATGGACCTATGAGTCACGGGTTCAATTGCGGCCAAGGGCATGGACCTCGGTTGCGCTTCATCTCCAGGCCTGGTCAGGATTGTGCAAGAGGCAACCAGTTGATGTGTCCCTCTTTTACTGATGTTTCTCTCTCTCTCTCTTTCTCTCCCTCTCCCTCCAATTCTATCTGAAGATAAATAGAAAAATATCCTCGGGTGAGGATTTAAAAAAAATCATTAAAAAAATAAAATGAATGCAGAGGAACTAAAAACCTTAAGTTGTTTGGTAAAATCTAACATAACTTCTGTTAAAGTATTGTGATATCTTTGTAGCAATAATTTATCACATTTCCAAATAATCTCTGTCTCTCAGTATGTGTTTAATTTTGCTGCTACAAATAACCAGGAAAAAATGTAGATTCACAAAATTAAAGTTTGGTACAAATTTTAAGCTCTAGAGTGAGCAAAAAATACTGTAATGTAGTGACAATGACATATTGGAGCAAGTAATCATTGAAACTATCGTAGGGAATTTTATCTCCATGAAAGCAAGACAAGTAATTGTGTAACAATTTATCACATGCTAGTGACTTTGAATTTCTAACTATTGTGCTAGTTTCTCTCTCTTACCTTGAGACCTTTGTTTCTGCTATTTCTGGTGCCTGGTACACCTTCCTTTTCAACTCTGTCGACCTTTCTGTCTCAGCTGAAATACCATTTCCTCAGTAAGGCCTTCCCTGACCCCACAGAAAGGTCATCTTCTCCCATCAAACACTCAAAGCATCCTGTGGTTTCCGTTTCTTAGCCTAGCATACATGTAACTTCCCTTTAAACATCTGCTTTCCTCTTTAGACTGTGAGTCCCATGGTGCAAGGAGTTTGCCTCTGTTGTTCTGAAACAACTCACCTTTTTAGGTTGCTCAGTACAGGTATACCTCGAAGATATTGCAAGTTCGGTTCCAGACCACTACAATAAAGCAAGTTGTAATCTTTTTGCTTGTGGCAGATTTGTGGTGCAACATCTGTGAAGCACAATAAAATGAGGAATGCCTATAAATGTTTATTGGATTAAAAATGAATAAATGATTATTCTATACACATTAAATGAAGCATGACCCTGCCTTATATTTATACAGCCCTTTATTCTTAACACCTTTTTACTTCTGTTATCCTGTTTGAACTTCCAAAGACCCAGATCTACCTAGTTAGCCTCTCTCAGACCTTAAAATGCATATGAGATCTCCCATCTCTTAGATAAAAGCACAGGCTACAGACGGCATGCTTGCCTTCTAGTCCTAACTCTGCCACTTCAGACCTATGTTGTGGGCTAGTTATCTCACCCCACTGTGCCCCAGTTCCCTCATTTGTACTTAACATCGTATGTACACTGTGAGGAGTAAATGAATACAGTTGATCCTTGAACAATGCAGGGATTTGGGGTGCCAATCCCCCCCATTTTATATGTAAATTAGAAAATTTACATATAACTTTTGACTTTCCAAACATTTAACTACAATCATCCCATGGTATCCAAAGGGAATTGGTCCCAGGACTCCCTGCATATACCAAGATCCATAGATTCTCAAGTTGCTTATATAAAGTGGCATAGAACAATGTATACAGTCAGCCTGCCACATCCACAGAGTCAATCAACTGCATATTTTTTTTTTTTTTTTTTTTTTTTTTTTTGTTCAGATAGAGTGGGAGGGAGAGAGAGGAAGAGAGAGAGAGAGAAACATCGATGTGAAGGGACACATCGAGTGGCTGCCACCCTCACGACCAACCAGGGCCGGGGACAATCTGCAACCGAGGTACATGCCCTTAGCGGGAACCGAACCCGGGTCTCTCAGGACCGCAGGCCGACGCTCTAACCGCTGAACCAAACCGGCCAGGGCTCAACTGCATATTGAAAACAATACTTTCAATCTACAGTTGGAAATCCAAGGATGTAAAACCTGAGGATACAAAAAGTCGACTGTATATTTATTTTTAAAAATCCATGTATAAGTGGACTCGTGTAGTTCAAGCTTGCGTTTTCCAAGGGTCAATGATATATATACAAGTAAGCACTTTGAACAGTGCCTGGCACTTAACAAAGGTTGGCTATTATATAGGAGTACCATGAAGATTAAGAGTATTGGGGCCAATATTAAAGATGAGGTATCCTCAATATTATGTTGAATGAAAATGAAGCCAGACCCAAAACACTACATACTGTGTGATTCCATTACAGGAAGTTCAAGCACAGGCAAAACTAACCTATGATAATAGAAGTAGATCAGAATGGAAGGGTCTTGGTATGGGGGCAGCATATTGACTGGGAAGGTATACACAGCAATCTTCCTGCGTACTGGAAATGTTCTGTATCTTTATCTGGATGATGGTTACACAGTGAATAAAAAATATTTTTAAGTTTTGTGTGCTTAACTTTATGTAATTTATACCTCACTTGAAGTTTTAGGCAGGAGTAAGAACTTGTGACCCATCTCCTCTTGGCATAGAAGACTTCCCCCAAGTCCTTCTCTGCCTCCTACTAAGAACCTCAGAGGGGCCCTGGCCAGTTATGCTCAGTGGTTAGAGCATTAGTTAGCCTGAGGACCAAAGAGTTGCAGGTTCAATTCTCAGTCAAGGGCATGGTGTATCTGGTTTGCGGGTTTGATCCCTGGCCCTGGTCAGGGTTGCATAGGAGGCAACCAATCAATGTGTCTCTCTCACATTGATGTTTCTTTCTCTCTCTCCCTCTTTTGCATTCTATCTGAAAAAAAAAAAAATCAATGGAAAAATATCCTTGGGTGAGGAATTAAAAAAAAAAACTCTCAAAGGGGAGCCCTGATGAGTTTTATTTTATTATCATTTTTTTTTTTTTTTTCCCTCACCCGAGGATATTTTTCCATATTTTGTACAGATAGAGTGGGAGGGAGAGAGAGGAAGGGAGAGAGAGAGAGAAACATCGACGTGAAGGGACACATCGAGTGGCTGCCACCCGCACGACCAACCAGGGCCGGGGACAAACTGCAACCGAAGTACGTGCCCTTAGCGGGAACCGAACCCGGGTCTCTCCAGACCGCAGGCCGACGCTCTAACCGCTGAGCCAAACCGGCCAGGGCTTATTATCATTTTTTTATTGTTGAAAGTATTACAGACACCCCCCTTTTTTTCCATTGACCCCCTCCTTTCCACTCCCACCCAACTCCTGCCTTCCTATTTTATTTTTTTATAATTTTTCTTTATTGATTTTAGAGAGAGAAGTAGGGAAAGGGAGAGAAGTAGAGACGTTGATGAGAGAGAACATCAATTGGCTGCCTCCTGCATGCCCCCCACCAGGTATCAGGCCCACATCCTGGGCATATGCCCTGACCTGGAATCAAACCGGTGACCTCTCGGTGCATGGATCGATGCTCAACCACTGAGCCATAACAGCCGGGCAAGCATCGATGAATTTTAATATCTCCCTTGCCCCTTGTTTCTTTCTGTTGATACCCAATAAACCATATTCCTTTCACTGACCTGGACTTAACCTTGAAATGGGTAGAACAAGACCACATTCCAGGATGCCCAGCAAGTAAGGTGGGAGTGTGAATATAAATGGCTCTATCCATGGTGTCAGGACCATGGCCCTCCCTGGGAATCAGATGTTGCTTGCCAGTGAAATAAGGCCTTGGTGCAAACTCCTCTGGTCCCCACCACATCCAGGCAGAGCCAAGAGTGTAGTCAGTTCCAGGGGAACAGAACTCTGATAAACTCTATGCTGAGGCCTCATGCTCAGGATTGCTAGTGGTCAGGATCTCAGGTGTATTGGTCTATTTTGGTTTCAAGTGATAGAAATCCAAAGCAAACAGGCTTCTGTAAAATCAGAGCAATTTATTGGAAGGATGCTGATATTTGTAAAACATAACCATGGAAATGGCAGGACCTCAGAGACACCTGGACCCTGTGGCTCTTTTTCTCCTCGCTGCTCCTCATAGCTTTATTGTATCAGACTCTTTCTCCTCATAATGGAAAATGTGGCTGCCATCAGTTGCTGAGCCCCGCACATGATAGCCTCACACCAGAAAGCCTACATCCTGCTTCCCTTAGATCCAGTACAGACAAATCTCAAGGGAAGGCTCTGGTCGGCTCAGTTTGATTCCAACCCCCACCCCTCGCCCCCAGACCAGTCATCTGCGGCCATAAGGATGGGACATCATGATTGACAACATCCAGCAGAACCACATGGTAGTTAGAAAGTAGAAAGAAATAAAGCCCCAAAGAAGGTAAGAAGAAGCAGTGATAAGCAGGGTGAACAATGTTGTAACAGAGAGGGACAAAACTTAATCCATGAAGCCTGGTCTGGTTACTCTGCTAATTAAACATAACTTTCTCAGTCCCCATTCTCCATGGATCCAGAGATGAGGCCAGCAGGGTCCTACCTTTGAGATCCAACCAGCTCAGCAAGTGGTCAAAGATATTCCTGAGAAACACTGGTCCTTTCTCAAGGCAGAACACAGCTCTATCAACAGGACAGATGCAGAAGAGCAATAGAAACTCAACAGGCTGGGACCCCAGAGATAGGTCCTTAAGTGCAATCAACTCAAGCTACTACCAAGTATAAATCCTCTCCCTTATCTGGGCCTCAGTGACTTCCTCTATAAAATGGGAGTGATGGAGTCAGGGGTGGGGAAACTTTTCTCTGCCAAGGACCATTTGAATATTTATAATATTATTCGCGGGCCATACAAAATTATCAATTTAAACATTAGCCAGCTATATTTGGTCAGACAAATGTGGTAAGGTGTGTGATGTTAGCTGGTATTGATTTCTCGGGCCTTATATGGCCCAAGGGCCAGACATCCCACCCCCTGATTGTCAGCAGAGTCCCTGAATGCCCAAACAATCTGGATTTAAATCTCAGCTCTACCCTTAGCAACTGTGTATTCTTAAGGATGATAATGATGATGATAACTTTTTATTTTGAAAATAATTTCAAAATTACAGAATATTTTCAAGAATAAGTCAAAGAACTCCTGTATACCCAGAATCCAAATTCAATAATTTCTAACATGTCGGCATATTTATTTAGTCACTTTCTTCTTTCTGAACCATTGGAGAATACCTTGCATACATTTTACTCTTCACTCTGCTCCTCTATTCTTCACAGTTGTTTCCTAAGAACAGGGATTTTTTTCTTACATAAGCACAATACAGTTATCAAATTCAGTAAATTTAACTTTGATACAATACTTCCTAATCAGCAGTTTACATTCCACTGTTGCCAAATGTCTCAGTATGCCTACAGATTTTTCCCATCCAGTACCGACTCCAGCCCAGAAGCAGGAATAGCACCTAGTTGTATAAACAATAACATAAATGGAGTCACTTTCAAATGGAGCCAGAACTGCTATGACTGAGGAACTGCTTTGCACATCTCATGTCTCAAATCTTGGAATGTTAAAACAGGACAAAATAGTCTATGGACTTGGCCTAAGCAAACTTGTTTCCCAAAACACTGTTTACAAAGATAACAAGAAAGCAGTTATTATGATTACCAGATTGATGATGACTACTGGACTGAAAATTCAAAACATTATTTAGAATTAACATCACTATGTTATGTTATCTGCACCAATAGAAATGCCTTTCTAACTATTACATCAATAGTTCTCCTTCCCTTGCTCATAAATCTCCATTGCTTTGTCTCCTGATCAGAACATTATTTGGGATTAGGCCTAAATTAATAACTCCAGAATAGCTATTCTTATTGATCTCAAATAAATACTTCTTTGCCTCTCACTTTGAAAGGCATTTTTATTTTTAGGTTAGAGTTGTCAGGTCTCTTTAGCCTCTTTTTAGAGAGGAACAGTTCCTCAGTCTTTCCTTATTTCTAATGACATTGTCATTACTGAAGAATACAGACCAATTATTTTAAAGAAAGTATCTCAATGTGGGTTTTTCTGATGTTTCCTCATGACATAATTCAGGTAATGCATCCCCAACTAGGATATTGTGTTGTATCATTTTGGGGGTAGAGGTGAATAGATAAACTGTAGTATATCTAGACAATGAAATATTTTTCAAGGCTAAAAATAAATGAGCTAACAAGCCATGAAAATAAATAGAGAAACCTCAAATGAATATTATTAAGTGTAAGAAGCCAATCTTAATAGGTTATATAATTGTATGAGTCCAACTACATGACTTTATGAAAAAGGCAAAACTATGGAGACAGTAAAAGATCAGTGGGTGCTGGGGGTTAAAGGCAAGAAGGAATGAATCTGCAAAACCCAGAGGATTTTTAGGGCAGTGAAAATATATTATACTATAATGATGGATCCATGTCATTATACATTTGTCAAAACCCACAGATAGTACAACCCCCAAGAATGAACCTTAATGTGAACTATAGACTTTGGGTGATAATGATGTGTCAATGTAGGCTTATCAGTTTTAATAAACATACCACTCTGGTAGGTGATGTTGATAGCGGGGTTGGTTTGGGGTGGGGGTAGGGATAGAAGGTATATGGGAAATTTCTGTAACATTTGCTCAGTTTTGCTGTGAACCTAAAACTGCTTTAAAAAATAACATTTAGCCTTGGCCCGTTGGGCTCAGCGGTTAGAGCGTTGGCCTGCAGTCCTGAGAGACCCGGGTTCGGTTCCGCTAAGGGCGCGTACCTCGTTTGCAGTTTGTCCGGACCTGGTTGGTGGGCTTGCAGTTGGTCAGGCGGGTGGCAGCCACTCGATGTGTCCCTTTCACGTCAATGTTTCTCTCTCTCCCTCCCACTCTACCTGAACAAAAAAATGGAAAAATGCCTTCGGGTGAGGATAAAAAATAAAAATAATAATAACATTTATTTAAATTTTTAAAATTAATTTAATTTGAGAGAGAGAGAAAAACATCAATTTGTTGTTCCACTTATTTATGCATTCACTGGTTGATTCTTTTTTTCTTCTTTTTTTTTTTATCCTCACCCGAGGGTATTTTTCCATTTTTTGTACAGATAGAGTGGGAGGGAGAGAGAGGAAGGGAGAGAGAGAGAGAAACATCGACGTGAAGGGACACATCGAGTGGCTGCCACCCGCACGACCAACCAGGGCCGGGGACAAACTGCAACCGAAGTACGTGCCCCTAGCGGGAACCGAACCCGGGTCTCTCCAGACCGCAGGCCGACGCTCTAACCGCTGAGCCAAACCGGCCAGGGCTTGATTCTTTTTTTTTAAGAGAGAGAGAGAGGAAGGGGAGAGAGAGATAGAAATATCAATGTGAGAGAGATACATTGATCAGCTGCCCCCTACAAGACTCCCACTAGGGATTGATTTCACAACTGGGGCACGTGCCCTGACTGGGAATTGAACCAGGACCTCTCAGTCTATGGAACAACGCTCGATCCACTGCGCCACACTGGCCAGACTTCACTGGGTAATTCTTGTATGTGCTCTGACCAGGGATCCAACCCACAACCTTGGTGTATCAGGACGACATTCTAACCAACTGAGCTACCCAGCCAAGGCAAAAATAAAATCTATTTTAAAGCTGTATTAGCACAATGACACATAATAAGTATTCATCTTAAGTGCTCATTATTATGATTATTATAATTATTTCACATGTCCTATCTAGTTCTGGCATGCAATGATCCTATGATAATAAATGGGAGAGCACAATAAAAAACATATAAAAATATGCCTTGTTTCCCTAGATTTAAATCCCCAAGCATAGACTGACAGAGAAGGGAACACTGGGAAACATAGATAATGAACATTTATTAAGTACTTACTCTGGAGTGGGGCAAAGTAGGTTTACAGTTCTGAGTATGCTGAAACAGAGTTTATTTTTGTATTATTATTGACTAATTACTATAATATTTTCCATGTGAACAACTGTAAACCTACTTTTGCCCCACCTGCATGTGTCAAGCAACTTTACATGTATTTTACTCATATCACCTTCACAACACCCTCTGAGATAGATAGCTTCAGAGAGGCATTAGAACTGCTCTGCATTTGGACTATATGGTTTGAATATTGCCATTGTTACTTATAAGCTGTGTGACTTTAGGCACATTATTTAACCTCTCTGTGCCTCAGTTTTCTCATTTGTTAAAAAGTAAATGAAAATAAATGTTTTTTTTATACCAATCTCACAGAAATGTTATATGGAATAAATGAGTAAACACATAAGACAGAGACTGGCACATAGCAAGCATTGCGTGTTTGCCGATACTATTTTAGAGATGTGGAAACAAGCACAGAGAGGTTAAGTCACCAGCTGGGAAGTGGCAGATTTGGAATTTAAATTCAAATAGACAGACAAGTATACAGGCAATTACAAAGGGACTAAATGCTATGATAGGAGAGAGTCTGGAATTTGTGGCAGCCCTACAGAGGTCTTTGGGCAGGTCTCAGGCAGGTCTGGAAGGCTTTCAGGAGATGGTACCTGAGCTGTGACTTAGAGGATGAGTAGAAGTGTACTGGGTGACCAGGTGAAGAACGTGGAGGAGAGCAGGGATCATGTGCAAAAGCCTGGGGATGAGTCAGACTGAAGGAACAGCAGACAATCATAGAGTGTAACTTGGGGTGTGATAGCAGCTGAAGCTTCTCACAGACCATGGGGACCAGATGGAACCTTCACACCCTTGAAACCTTTATTTTAGTAACAGAACTCTTTTTCAGACAAAACCTAGAACAGAAACTAGATGAAAGCAGAGGAGTGAAATGGGGATGGTTCTCAGGGGGACTTAGTGCTCCCCAGCTTTCTTGCCACCCTCCCTCAAATCTTTACAGAACACCTCAAGGCTGCATCTCTCAATTTTACAGATGAAGGTCTGAGTTCCAGAGGGGAGCGACTGGCCCACCACTCCTCCTAGGTGACTAGAGCCAGGACTTTGGACTCCCAGCCCAGGGCCTTTTCTCCTCGGATCTTTGGAACCTTTTCTTCAAGATAAGAGCTTTGAAGAGGGTTGGGAAGGAGGGAGAGGGGCAGGCAGTTCAGATTAGAAAACCACAAAGTCTCTACTTTCTGGACTCAGTATTTGCATCAGTACAAAGGGGAGTGCTGGGTAAGGTGACCTCAGAAAGACTGTCCATCCCTGCGTTCTGAGGCCATCGGCAGGGCCTCACCCCCTATATCTTAGGCCCTGTCCTCCAAATCCCACCTGCAGTCTCAGAGGAGAGATGGGGTTGCCCAAGAGCTGCTAGTGAGTGAAGCCCAAGGACAGAGTGCTGAGCACGGGGACAGGCAGCCTGCTGGCCAGAGGTTGAAGTGATCTAACCTGGCGGCTCAGGGTATTTTTAGGCCTCTGTGCTCTTGCCCCTGGGCTGGAAGCAGATTACAGAAACACAAAAATGAAACAACCTTTGCTTGGCCTGACAACTCCACCAAAGGGAAGAAAATACTTTGAGAAGAAGCTAAACAGCCTTTGGTCTATTTTACTCCCTCTTTTCTCAGCAGGTAGGAGCAAAGCCAGGACCCCTGACCGGGTTGGCACTCCTGCAAATACCACATTTGGGACCAGGAATTTCCTCCCATTCACCCTCTCAAACTGGCTGGCCACACTGCTCAAATCCACTCTAACTCGGCACCACTGATTATTACTTAACAAACATTTACATTCCAGGCTCTACTCTCAGCATTGTTTAATATCGATTCGTTTAATTCTCCAGCAGCCTCACTTTCACAGATGAGCAAATTGAGGTCACAGAGATTGATTAACCCGCCTGTGGCCATGGGAAGCGGAGTCAGGATTCAAACCAGGCAGTCTGGCTCCAGAGAATAAACTTAACCTCCATGCTATGTCACTTCTCCAAAGTCTGGCACCCTTCCGTGCTACAGGACACCTGGCACCACTCTTCTGAAGTAGCCCCAACAGCCCCCTAGTCCCCATGATAGCGAAGGTTGCCCACATACAGTGGAAAATATTGTCCCAGAATCATTATTAAGAGAGGAATTTCTTGTCCACCCCACTCACCCGCTGCCTCTGACCTGCTGCTCTGGGCTGCCCTGCCAGAGGCTCAGGGACCTTCTCGCACTTTCTCGCTGAATTCCCCCAAGTAATCCGAGTCCAGGCTGAAGTTCTTAAACAGTTTTGCCAAAAGTCTGAGGGAGTGAAAGGAAAAGTGAAACCCAGTCAGCAGCTATCTCTGCACTGGCCATGCCTGTGCCCTGGGGGCCCCTTCTGGTTGCTTCTTTCCTCAGCCCTTTGCCTCTCATTTTAGTTAGAGGCCCTGACATGGAGTCCCTTGTTCTCTCCCCAGAGCCTGGGAATCCTCAGATTTACTTCCTAAGCCATGCCCCAGCCAGAGCAGGTAAACTAAAGGAACAACCTGCAGACTCTTGGTTTGAATATTGCCATTTCCCTGCTCCCTCAGAACACAGCAATTAACATTTGGTTCCTGAGGCCAAGGTTTCTTCCTTCCAGAAGAGGGCTTTCACTTTATCTTAGATAACAGAGGTCCCTGTGAAGTGCTTGTCCAAACAAAAGAGCAATCTTTGCCCAAAGGGTAACTCTAGTGTCAACAAAGAAATGGGCTCTTATTATTACTATTTTTTTTCAAATCCTCATCCGAGGATATGCTTTGTATTGATTTTAGAGATGAAGGGAGCCCTGGCTGGTTAGAGGGCCTGCCAGAGAACCAAAGGGTCTCGGGTTAGATTCCCTTTCAAGGGCACATGCCTGGGTTGCAGCCCTGGTGGGGAGTTCAGGAGGCAACTAGTCCATGTGTGTCTCTCACAGTGACGTTTCTCTGTCTCTCTCTCCCTCCCTTCCACTCTATCTAAAAATCAATGGAAAAGTACCCTTGGGTGAGGATTAAAAATAAATAAACATGGATGAAGAGATAAATTAAGCCACCAGGGGAAAATGAGCTCCTATTGAGAACAGCTCTCCCTCTCCATTTCCTGATAAAAACATAAGTAACAGCTGAATACTGAGCAATATACTACTGTGGTATGAGGAATAGAGTGAAGAAATAAAATGGAGTCACTACAGTCAAGCTGCAATTGTCAACCAATCAATAGGTTGAGGCATGAGGAAACTATTTTATTCTTGTTTTAATAGCTTGGGAACTTATACTTTTGAACTTTCCAGTCCTGCATCAATGCCTGGATATACATCAAACCTCCAGATAACCCTCTGACTATCCCTGAAGGACTAAAGAAAGAATGCTCACATATCCAGACCACCTGGTATCCATTCATTGTCCAGGCCACCAGTCATCTAGAGGATTACCATCTCGGACCATCCATAGGCTAAGAATGCAGGACTGATTCTTCTGAAGAATGTACTTTTTACTAGAAGAACTCTCAGCTTTCCTTTCTTCTTAGGAATATTCTGGGTATTGTCGAGGTGTGTTTCCTGCTTGCAAACCCTAAGACCCTTGAATAAATCTTTATCATTTATTTCTAGCCAAAGCCTCCAGATCATTTGAGTTTGTTTTACAAATATAATCATAAAACCTTATTTTGTCTCCATTATCTTTTTTAAATGCATCCAGTGGAGGAGGCTCTACCTCTGTCCCTGGATGAAAACTTGGATCAGATTATCCCCAGGTGTGATGGTTCATTTTATGTGTCAACTTGGCTGGGCCATGGGGTGTTCAGATATTTGCTCAAACACTATTCTGGGTCTTTATGTGAGAGTGTTTTGGGTGAGATTAACATTTAAATTGGTGGACTTTGCCCTGGCCAGTTTGGCTCAGCGGTTGGAGCCTCGGCCTGCGGACCAGAGAGTCCCGGATTCGGTTCCCACTAGGGGCACATACCTAAATAAATAAACAAATAAACAAATAAATAAATAAATTGGTGGACTTTGATGAGAGTGGATTGTCCTCATAATGTGGTTGGGCCTCACCCAATCATCTGAAGGCCTAAATAGAACAAAAAGAGCAGCTTCCCCTGAGCGAGAGAAAATTCTCCAGCGGATGGCCTTTGGTCTTTATCTGCAACGTCAGCCCTTCCTGGTTCTGCAGCAGATGGCCTTCAGACTGAAACTGGAACTTCAGTTCTCCTGGGTCTCCAGCCTGCCAGCCCAGCTTACAGATTTTAGCCTTGCCAGCTTCCATGACTGCATGAGCCAGAGCCAGTTGCTTATGATAAATACTTTTCTATCTATCTATCTATCTATCTATCTATCTATCTATCTATCTATCTATCTATCATCTATCTAATACATATATATACTACATTTATATAGATATATAGTCTATGCCATATATAACAATGACAGACTGCATGTACGCCAGTGATCTCATAAGATTATAATGGATTATAAGCAAAAAAAATGTGTTTGCAATATTAAAAGAAAAGGCTAGATTTGACTACAATGTTGAATTTACTGCTAGTTCTGGGTGGTTTTTAAATAAAGCATGCTGTCCATCCACTGTACAGCCATCTGTACACCAGCACAGGTATACACACTCATAAGTATAAACTTACTTTCCTTCCTTCACGTTCTCCCTCCATTCTCCTGACCTTTACTCTCTCTCCAACTGGCACTTCCCTCCACAGCCCACCCCCCCTTTCCCCCATAATGCACATGCATACACACACTTTATCTTTTACACCATATTTTTAGTGTAACTTTTCTGTGTTTAGATATGTTTAGATACACAAATATTTACCATTGTGTTATAATTGTCTACAGTATTCAGTACAGTAACATGCTGTACAGAAGCAGTAGGCTATACCATCTAGGTTTGTGTACGTGCACTCTAAGATGTTTGCACAATGATGAAATCATCTATTGATGTATTTCTCAGAATGTAACCCTGTTGTTAACACATGACTGTATGTATATACATCCTATTGGTTCTGTTTCTCTGGAGAGTCCTGACAAATATGCCAGGTTAATAACAAACAAACAAACAAATAAAAACTCTATTTTAGGTTCCTAAACTCAGCCTCAGTTCAGAAGTTTAAAAATCCAGTCTGGGGAGCAACCAAAGCTTCTAACTTTTTAAAAAGTTACAGACGGAACTTCAGTCAAGATGTCGGTGTAGGTATGTATACACGGTACTTGCCTCCTCCCACAACCACATCAAAATTACAACTAAATTACAGAACAACATCCTTCAGAACCACCTGAAATCAAGCTGAATAGAAGTCCTACGAAATTAAAGAAGCAGCCACATCGAGACTGGTAGGAGGAATGGAGGTGTGGACAGGCTGGTTCCACACCCACGTGTGGTGGATAAAAATCAGGAGGACACTTCAGCTGGGAAGGCCCTCCCTGTGGGTGAGGGATCCCCATCCCACACCAGCTCACGATTCCAGTGCCAGGATGTTAGAAGTCCCCATCACTTCTGACTGTAAAATCCAGTGGGAACTGAGGCTGAGGGAAGCTGAGGCTTCTGAAGTCCCAGGCAGTTCCTCTAAAAGAGCCCGTGCATGAACTCACTCAGACCCTCTCCCTCTGAGCTCCAGATCAGATGGGAGGTAGCTTGAAAGGCACCAGAGACATACAGGAAAGAACTGAGTTGTTTGGCATCAGGGCAAGGGCTGGAGCGGCAGCTTTCTCCCAGACAGATGTGCTGGTGGAGGCCGTTGTTCCTTTGGTGAGCCCCTCTCCCATGAGGCCAGCAGATGGCCACTATATGTGGAACTCCAGCAACCTGCTCACACTGCCCTGCCTTGGTGATTTCCCGAGACCTTGCCCCACCCAACTTTTGGGTCCACCCAAGCTCTTCCAGTGGCTTTACCACAGGATTGGCCTGTTTGGACTCCTGCCTCAGATTTTCCTAAATTCTCTCAAACAAGCAGCATCTGGCCACAGTGAGCCCCAAACCTGTTGCTAGGTGGCCCCAACCCCGGCACCAGAAGCAGCCAGCCTAGGTTCACAGGTTGGCTTTGTCTGGGCACCTCCAAGCTCAGCACAAGAAGCAACCATTGGCAGATCGCTTTGTAGCTTGTGCCTGGTGGCTCTGGGTAGAACACAGGCAGTGGCTAACTTTGCCCCAGAGCCAGCACACCCAGTGTAAAGCTTCAGACCATATCAAAACACCATCATCCAACCACCTCCACAAGGGACACACTCAAGGAATGGACTGGACTCAGTGGGTGCCAGAGCCCTGTTGAAGTAAGTCTTGCTCTGTGTGGTGGGCCCCACACAGCTGATCCTCCAAGGTAGTCAGAAGTCAGTGGTTGGTGGGCACAGTCAGTCCTTGCAGCTGATCAGCCTGAGTAAAATCCTCCCATTGACATGCCACCAGCAATCAAGACTCAATTACAACAGAAAGGTATAAAGTCTACATGAGGGGTGCACCTCAAAGGCCCAGCTGGGTGACCAGGGAGGCTGTACCACTGGACCCTACAGGACACCTACTACAACAGGTCACCCTAGGAAGCCTAGGAGACATAGCAACTCTACCTAATACATAGAAATAAACACAGGGAGGCAGCCAAAACAATGAGACAAAGAAACACATCCCAAAGGAAAGAACAGAACAAAACTCCAGGAAAAGAACTAAACAAAATGGAGATAAGCAATTTAACAGATGCAGAGTTCAAAACACTGCTTATAAGGATGCTCAATTAACTTAGTGAGAATATTAAAGAACTTAGTGAAGACTTCAAGGGCATAAAAAAGGACCAGTCAGAAATAAAGGATTCATTAGCTGAAATAAAAAATAATTTACAGGGAATCAATAGTAAGAGTAGGCGAAGCCAAGAAACAAACCATCAATTTACAATATAAAGAAGCAAAACAGCTCTTTGAGGAAGACCTGGTTGCTGCTGTAGTGCAGCTGCGTCCCGCCCGCTCCTGCTTCTGAGTCACTGCTGTTCGCTCTCGCCGAGGGACAAGTGGATCAGGAAGCCACGCAGCAGCCATGGTTTTTAAAGACACTGGAAAGACACCCATGGAGCCGGAGGTGGCCATCCACCGGATTAGAATTACTCTGACCAGCAGCAAAGTCAAGTCTCTGGAGAAGGTGTGTGCTGACTTGATACGAGGCGCAAAAGAGAAGAATCTCAAGGTGAGAGGACCAGTTCGGATGCCTACCAAGACTCTGAGAATCACTACAAGGAAAACTCCCTGTGGGGAGGGTTCTAAAACTTGGGACTGATTTTAGATGAGGATCTACAAGCGACTCATTGACTTGCACAGCCCTTCCGATATTGTTAAGCAGATTACTTCCTTCAGTATTGAACCAGGAATTGAGGTTGAAGTCACCATTGCAGATGCTTAAATCAAACTTTTAAATAAATTGACTATCAGTTGCTGAAAAAAAAAAAAAAAAGAAGAAGAAGCAAAACACACTAAATCTGAACAGCAAAATAAAAAGAGTCCAAAAAAATGAGGCTAGTGTAAGGAGCCTCTGGGACAACTTCAAGCATACCAACATTCGCATCATGAGGATGGTAGAAGAAGAAGAAAGAGAGCAAGAAATTGAAAACTTATTTGAAAAAATAATGACAGAAAACTTCCCTGACTTGGTGAAGGAAACAGACATACAAGTCCAGGAAGCACAACGAGTTCAAAACAAGATGAACCCAAAGAGGCCCACACCAAGACACATCATAATCAAAATGCAAAAGGTTAAAGATAAAGAGAGAATCTTAAGAGAACAGCCATTAGTTACCTACAAAGGAGCTCCCATAAGACTTTCAGTCAATTTCTCAAAAGAAACTTTGCAGGCCAGAAGGGAGTAGCAAGAAATATTTAAAGTGATGAAAAGCAAAGTCCTACAACTAAGATTACTCTATCCTGCAAAGCTATCATTTAGAATTGATGGCCCTTTAAAGAGTTTCCCAGACAAGAAAAAGTTAAAGGAGTTCATCACCACCAAACCAGCATTATATGGAATGTTTTTTTATCTTCTTGAAGAAGATAAAAAAATTTGAACAATAAAATAAATAGCAATCAATACGTATTTATCAACAATTGAATCTATAAATAAAATGAGCACGCAGAACAAAATCAAACTCATAGATACAGAAAAAATTTTTTTGGCTGCCAGATGGGAAGGGGGTTGGGTGAAAAAGATGAAGGTATTAAGACGTACAAATTGGTTGTTAAACTGATGAACCTCAAAGGGAAGGGGGGAGGTGGGATGGGAAGAGAGTAACCAAAGAACTTATATGCATATATGCATAACCAATAGATACAAACAATAGTGTGGGGAAGGCAAGGGGGAGGGAGTGGGGAGAAGGAGGTCAAGGGGGATGGAAGGAGGGACATCTGTAATACTTTCAGCAATAAAGATAAGTTTAAAAAGAAAATACATAAATAAAAACATAAAAGAAATCCTGTTTTATTTATATATATATATAATTGAAAATAGTCGTGGCCGGTTTGGCTCAGCGTTTAGAACATTGGCCTGCGAACCAGAGAGTCCTGGGTTCGGTTCCCGCTAAGGGCACGTACCTAGGTTGCAGTTTGTCCCCGGGACCGGTTGGGGTTGTGTGGGTGGCAACCAGTTGATGTGTCTCTATCATATTGATGTTTCTCTTTCTCTCTTCCTCCCTCCCTCCCTCCCGCTCTATCTGAAAAAATGCAAAAAGGTCCTCGAGTGAGGATAAAAAGAAAAAAAGAAAAGATTTAACCCTAAAAAAATAAAATAACATAAAAAATGAAAAGTTGCAGTTGGCCCCTCCCCATAATAGAGTGAGAGTGAATCCTTCTTTCTCTTTCCTTACCTTAAAGCCTCCCCCTCCATCTTGCTCGGATGGTTTCTAACCCCTGGCATGGTTGGGGCAGGAGGTAGGGAGGAGATGTTGAGGAGCAGGAAAGCCCTTACTTGACTGATACTGCTGCAGGATGATGTGACCTATGTATTAAGCTGATCCCTCTCAGGAGTGCTTTCATAGATTCTGGAGACCCAAAGAACATCCCATTTTCTCTTTCTGATGTGAGGAACATTTACCCGTCTGTCTCCTCAGCTCCTTTTCTTTTTTTTTTAAATCCTCACCCAAGGATATTTTTCCATTTATTTTCAGATAGAGTGGGAGGGAAGGGGAGAGAGAGAAAAACACCAATGTGAGAGAAACACATCGATTGGTTGCCTCCCGCATAAACCTGACCAGGGCCAGTGACCAAACTACAACTGAGGTATGTGTTCTTGACTGGAATTGAACCCACAGCTCTTTGATCCATGGGTGGATGCTCTAACTGCTGAGCCAAACCAACCAGGGCCTCAGCTCCTACTTTTATTTTTCCCTGCCCACAATGGTGCACAAACCACACAGACTCTGTGCAGGTGTCACATCACTTCTCTAGGTGTCCTCTGGGGCATGATCAGGCCAGCTCTCCTGAGGGCCCACATCTGAGACCCTGACATCTAGAACTGAGAAACTGGTTGCTCATTCCTCTGACATCTTCAGGGAGGGAGGCCTCCTTCCTGCTCAGCCACCTCTCTGAGGCTCCTTTCTCCCATCCTTTAGATTGCTGAAGTGAGAATCAGAGACTGGGTCCAGTATCCCTCATCCCGTGAGGGGCCCATATTTAGCTTCCAAGTGGTCCTGTTGGGGCTTCTCATCTGGCCTAAGGACACCCTCAGTTCTCCCCGTGGGTGGGATGGGACTGAGGGTGGGGGGAGTCAAAGTTCTACTCTCTCTAAAGAAGTTCTCGCAATTTTTTAAATCTCCAATAATTAGAGCATTAGGGTCTCGAAGCATGTGAAATAGTTTAGGGTCTTATAACAAGTTTTTATTTCCTTTGAACATCTGCATCTTGGTTTGGAATGTCTTATCTATATTATTTTGGTGAATCCTTAGCAAGTTGCAATTTAACATCCTGTTACACACACAATTATATGTGCAAAGAGATAGAGAACAGATATACCACTGAATTTTTGTGGGGAGAGTTCTGTGTATGTCTGGACAGGGAGCAGACTGGAGAGCTGGCTTGGGAATAAATGTTGAGGCTCTGGACTTTCTCATTCTAGTGCCCTCTCCTTTCCCATTCCACTCTTTTATAATTTTCCAGCCCTACTCCCCCTGCCCAACCCCTGTGCTCTCAGGTCACTGAAAAAGGTTAAAGAAAATGCTTTGTTGTTTGTTTGTTTTTATCCTCACCCAAAGATACTTATGCATCTAACCTCAGATAGAGTCGGAGGAAGAGAGGGAGGAGGAGGAGAGAGAGAAACATCGATGTGAGAGAGACACATCAAGTGGTTGCCACCCACACGACCCCAACCAGGGCCGGGGACAAACTGCAAACGAGGTATGTGCCCTTAGCGGGAACCGAACCCAGGACTCTGGTCCACAGGCTGATGCTTTAACTGCTGAGCCAAACCAGCCAGGGGAGAGAGAAACTGCTTTGTATAACAAAATATATGAAAGGTAATGGTAGGGGAGGGAGAACAGAAACAAGGGGGAAAGTGCAGTGCAGAAGATGGTGAAAGATGGCCTGACACCTTAAAAACTGTCTCCCTACCACTGAAACCTGACAAAATTCTAAAACTCACAAGCAGGTTCCAGACCTGTGAGCAGATGCTGAGCCATGCCATCTGATCCCTGCTGTGGGTCTTAGAGTTCTGCAAGGCAGGGACAGCTGGGTGTGCCTTGGTTACCAATAGAGCTCCCAGAGTAGGTGACTAATACAGTTCAAATGACTGAATAGGGAGCCAGCGCCTCAGTCAGGCTCTGGGGTTGGCTGGGATCGCCAACCTATGTGTTCAGGACCCCTATACAGGTCTGTTCTCTTCCCTTATTGGTCCAGTATTGGCACACAAATTACATCTTTATACATTATAAGCCCATCAACACAGGTTTCCTTTAGTTCTTTAAACATATTTAAAATAGCTGATTTAAAGTCTTTGTTTAGTAAGTCCTTGCTCTTCCTCAAGGACAGTATCTATTGGCTGCTTTTTCTCCCTGTGTGTGGGTCATACTTTCCTATTCCTTGTGTGTTGTAATTTTGTTGAAAATTTAACATTTAAAATAATATATTGTGGTAATTCTAGAAACCAGATCTCCCTCACCTCCAGGACTTGTTGTTGCTGTTTATTGTTTGTTTGTTTAGTGACTTTCCTAAACAAATTCTGTAACATCTTTATCCTATGTGGCCACTAAAGTCTATGTCTAGTTGGTCAGTTAATAATTATACAGAGATTTCTTTAAATGCCTTGAACCATAAATCTCTTAGCTTTAAATATATATATATCTGATAAACCACAGAACTTATATGCATGTATGCATGAACAATGGACATGGACAACAAAGCTGGGTACAGGGTGGGGAGGGAGAGGAGGGAGGAATCAATTGGGGGGAAAAGGAGAAACATCTGTAACAAAAATAAATTAATTAATTAAATTAAAAAAAATGTATCTGAGAAACATAGATTTGTTGTTCCACTTGTTTATGCGTTCATTGATTGATTATTGTATGTGCCCTGACCAGGGATTGAACCTGCAACCTTGGTGTATTGGGATGATACTCTAACCAAATGAGCTACTTAACCAGGGCATATGTCTCCTAGCCTTTGATGAGAGGCTCTCCGTGTGTTGGGGCATGCTTCTAATGTTCCATCAGGCAGTTTACAGCACTACTTTAGCTTTCATTTTCTGCTAAAGCAATACCTCAAGGTCAGCTAGAGGTGAGAGATTAGGGCTTTTTCAGGCATTTTCTGGACAAGTGTACAGCTCTTTCCATATGCATGGCCTTCTGGAGCCCCTGAAATATGTTGGAGCTTTTCAAAACCCTCTGTGTATATCTCATTCCCCAGCTTTTCTTTTCTTTTTTTTTAAATTTTATTTTTGTTTCTGATGTTTCTCCTTTTTTTCCCCCATTGACACCCTCCTTCCCATCCTCCCCATCCCATCCCCAGCTTTGTTGTCCGTATCCATTGGTTATGCGTACATGCATGTAAGTTCTGTGGTTTATCTCTTCCCTCCCCTCCCACCCCCTCTTCTGAGGGTTGTCAGTCTGTACTCTACTTCCACGTCTCTGGGTCTACCCTGTTCCTCAGACTGTTATGTTCATTATATTCCACAAATAAGTGAGATCATGTGGTATTTGTCTTTTTCTGTTCCCAGCTTTTCTTTTAAAATTTGTGGTCAGCTTCATTTTTGTCCCATCTGTTATCACTGCCTCGGGCAGCTTCTGTGTAAAACTATTATTGCTGATTATTTTTTATTTTTTTGACAAATGCCTCCAGGGAAAAGGCCATTCACACTGACTGAGCTGAGTCAGGTCAAATAAAGGCAAACTCTGGGAGTGGATATTTCCAAGGACCTTCCAGACAGGT